TCTGGCTTATAACTCTTATGCTGCCGCTTTGATGACTTTATTGTCTTGTTTTTACATCACAGGCTGCCTCCAGCCCATCTCTGGAGAGGCAGAATACACATTCTCTAAATAAAAGATATATACAGTCAGGGTTGGTTGTTTTTTTAAATTCTGGGGGCAAAAAATGGTGTCTCTTTCCCCTCTCTCTGGTATTTTTAGATTAAGAAGAAGAAGAGCTGGTTTTTACACCCCTCTTTTCTCTATCCTGAGGCGTCTCAAAGTGACTTACAATCCCGTTCCCTTCCTCTCCCCACAACAGGCACCTTGTGAGGCAGGTGGGGCTGGGAGAGCTCTGAGAGAATCGTGACTGGTCCAAGGTCACCCAGCAGGCTTCATTTGGAGGAGTGGGGAATCGAACTCAGTTCCCCAAGTTCTCTTAATCATGACACCACACTGGCTCTCAAGGGAAAACAAGACAGACTAGGGCAGGGGATTTCAGAAAGTTAGAGCGAAATTAATAACTTTTTAAAAGAGAGAAGAACGTTAGAGACAAATCTGGGACCCAACAATAAAGGAGGAGGAGGAGGAGGAGGAGATTGGATTTATACCCTGCCCTTCACTACCCGAAGGAGTCTCAGAGCGGCTGACAATCCCCTTCCCCTCCCCACAACAGACACCCGGTGAGGTAGATGGGGCTGAGAGAGCTCTCTCGAGGACTGCTCTTTCCAGAACAGCTCCGAGAGAACTTGTGACTGACCCAAAGTCAAACCAGCAGCTGCACGTGGAGGAATGGGGAATCAAACCTGGTTCTCCCTGATTAGACTTCACGCTCCTAACCACTGCACCAAGATCCTCAGTTCTTATACGTCACAGTTGCCTCGCATGAGCTAATGGCATCTCCTAGACTGTACATTCCCCCTGCAGGACTACAGAGACAAAGACTAAGTAAATGGGTAAACAAACCTTCTGGTGAAGGTTGGACTCTACAGCTGAGCGAAGAAGAAGGCGGAGGAGATTGGATTTATACCCCTCCCTTCCCTACCCAAAGGAGTCTCAGAGCGGCTCACAATCTCCTTTCCCTCCCCCTCCCCACAACAGACACCCCATGAGGTAGGTGGGACTGACAGAGCTCTTTCAAGTACTACTCTTGAGAGAACAGCTCTGAGAGAACTTGTGACTGACCCAAGTTCACGCCAGCAGCTGCAAGTGGAGAAGTGCGGAATCAAACCTGGTTCTCCCAGATCAGACTCCGCACTCCCAACCACTACACCGAGACAACCTATCCAACTCCATCCAGCCACAGTGTTCCAGAACCAGCTGCGCAAGGTCATCTGGGCTAGATTTGAAGGCCAGAAACCACTTCATTGGAAACGGAAAATGATGGATGGGGGGCACCATCAGAGCAAGGAAGGCATGTCGACAAACACGCCGGCCTCTCCCTGCCATTCTTTCTACACCTGGTGTTTGCGGTCGCTCGGTCGAAACCATACAGCCAAAAAGCAGTCAAGTCCGACACAGGTCTTCTCTCTTGTTGTGTCTCAGATCCCCGACGTGCAAGGCCCGGGGGAAAGTGAAGCACGCAAGGGGATACGAACATGAGGAACTGGGGCGAGGTCGTCAGCGAGAGATGGCGGGGAGATACAGTCCTCCTCCGCTGGAGAGAACAAAGCGGCGTCTCCAGGTGTTTTGCCGCAGGCATGGAACCGTTTGGTGAGCCAAGGAGTGACGTGGCGTGGGGGGAATGCGTTGCGGCACTGCTGGGGGGAGAGACCGGCGTCACGAGGGATCGCCCAAAGGGCTAGAGATGGGCAAGGCAGCGAGACATCAAGCCAGGGGAGAGGTGGGCCGTACCTAACACTGGGGGGGGGGGAGAGACTGTCACAGTTTTAGTATGTTCTCTTTTTGTAGCAGGTACTCCTTTGCATATTAGGCCACACACCCCTAATGTAGCCAATCCTCCAAGAGCTTACAGTAGTTCCTGTAAGAAGAGCTCTGTAAGCTCTTGGAGGATTGGCTACATTAGGGGTGTGTGGCCTAATATGCAAAGGAGTTCCTGCTACAAAAAGAGCCCATCTTGCTGACGGCGGACATGTTTTACTCAGCAGCTCTCTTTGCACTGGCGTTCTTTATCAGCCGCTTCGTCGCTGGTTCTTTTTATTAAAAATATATATGTTATTTATTCCGCTTATATTATTTATTTATTCAGCTTGTGTAGACTTATTTTTATTTATTCCGCTTATATTATTCATTTCTTCGGCTTGCATAGCCCGCCTTTTGTACCTGGGCTCAATGTGGACTACAGAGAAAAGAAGGAGCAAAATAATGTAATTATAGACAGCATGAAACATCCAATGAACACCGCTGCGGGACTGCGTGTGCCATCAAACGGCTTCTGACTTTCGGCAACCCGAGAAATGAATGTTTTGGAGGACAGCCGTGTTCGCCTGCAGCAGGACTGCTAGACTCAAATGCCATCGCAACAACATTTCTGGGGTGAAATAGTAAAAAGCCTAACAAACTTTATCGTAGCAGAAGCTGTCGAGAAACACAGCTCTCTTCATCAGATGCATGGGGGGGTATGAAGAAACTGGCCAGAGATATATAGGTGGTCAGGGGAGGGGGGAGAGGAGAGGGGACACATGGCACTTTCTGCATCCTCTCAGGGCTCTTTTTGTAGCAGGAACTCCTTTGCATATTAGGCCACACACCCCTAATGTAGCCAATCCTCCAAGATCTTACAGAGCTCTCCTTACAGGGGCTACTGTAAGCTCTTGGAGGATTGGCTACATTAGGGGTGTGTCGCTTAATATGCAAAGGAGTTCCTGCTACAAAAGGAGCCCTCCCCTTACCACCTATATATCTCTGGCCAGTTTCTTCATACCCTCCCATGCATCTGATGAAGAGAGCTGTGTTTCTCGACAGCTTCTGCTACGATGAAGTTTGTTAGCCTTAAAGGGGGCTACTGGGGCTTTTTACTATTTTGCAGGAACAGACTAACACGGCTAAACTCCTCTGGATTTCTGGGGCATTCGCTTTCGAGAGTTGACGTTCCCTTCGTCGGATACTAAGGGCAGGGCAGGGCCGGTGTCGAGGGGTCCAGGTTCAGAGAGACCGAGGGTCCCCCTCCTCCTCTTACCACCAGCAGGACCCCCACGCGTGCTTTCTTTCCAGCCCACCTGCGTCCCCACCGGCCTGTGTTTCCTTCCTTCCTTCCTTCCCCTATTTTCGAACCTTCTTACTGACTGTACGTCCTTCTCAGGGGTCATTTCGTAGAAAAAGAAGTGCAGGAGCTCATTAGCATAACTTATTTGCATAGGCCACACCCCCTGACATCACCAGAAGTGTGTCAGAAGGCAACACCCACCGCTCAGGCTCCACTGGACTGTTCTGGATTGCTAGCAATTGGTGGGGGGGGGGGAACATGCAGATCTGTCCTTGCAGAGGAGGGAGAGCTTGTACCTGAATAAAACTTGGTCTTAAAGGTGCCACTGGACTGTTTTGGACTGGGGGGCCAGGGGGAGCTCTGCAACTTACCTGGCTGCTTCTTGCTCTGACTGAGGGCTGCTAGGAGCAGGGGGTGGGGCTTGTTGCATGTGCCCCCCGGGCTCTTTACTGCCGGAGCTCCGCTCCTGTGCACTCCTGCAGGAAATGACCCCTGGTCCTTCTCTGCAGGACATGAGCTCCTTTGTCAGCAAGCTAAAACGGGCATGTCCAAATTAGAACATTTACAAATGCTTCCTCTAAGCTGTGGGGTCTTGTGAGCAAAAATTCTACTTGGTGAGCTACTGGCGCTAAAATTGTGAGCGAGCGATCTGGCTGCTGCATAAATTAGTTTGCTCCGGAGCCGTCCTTCCTGAGTGAAGACAAAAATGGGTGAGCCGGAGGCCAAAAAACTGTGAGCTAGCTCACACTAACTCAGCTTAGAGGGATCACACATGGAGGAATCTCTTAGTATCGGCTTAAGA